TTTTTATTATTTTTATTTTTCATGTGCATATTACCTGCATGTGTATAAGTACACCCATACTGTTCAGTGTTCCTGGGGGTCATAAGGGAGTGTTGAATCCCCTGGAACTGGAGTTACAAATAGTTGTTAGCTGCCATAGGATATATGCTCACATACAAGGATTTGGTGCTAAGATTCACACGTAAGAACATACATCGTGTTTTTCTGAGTCTGTGTTACTTCACTCAGTATAACGGTTTCTAGTTCTATTAATTTACCTGCAAATTTCATGATTTTGCCTTTCTTACTGCTGAGTAGACCTCCATTGTGTAAATGTACCATATTTTCATTATCCATTCATCAGCTGAGGGATGTTTAGAGTGTTTCCATTTCTTAGCTATTGTGAAAAGAGCAGCAACAAAAATTAATGTTCAAGTATCTCTACAGTAGGGCGAGTCCTTTGGGTATATGGCAAGGAGTGTTAAAAGTGGATCACATAGTAGATTCAGTTTCAATTTTTTAAGAGTTCTCCACACTGCTTTCCATAGTGGCTGCACGAGTTTGCAATCCCCCCAGCAGTGAATGAGTATTCCCTTTTCCACATCATCGCCAGCATTTGGAATCACTTGTTCTCTTAATCTTAGTCAGTTTGAGGTGAGAGGAAATATTAATGTGGTTTTATTTGCATTTCCCTAATTACTAAAGCTGTTGAACACTTTGTTTCTTAGTCATTTTTATTTCTTTGTTTGAAAACTCTGTTCAGATCCTTAGCCCATCTTTTTATTGGGTCACTTTTTTTCCTTGTTTTTGGTTTTTGAGTTTTTTTGTGTATTCTGGATATTAATCCCCTGTTGTCTGTGGAGCTGGTAAAGATTTTCTCTCACTCTGTGTGTTTTCTCTTCACTTTCTTGGTTGTTTCTTTGTTGTATGGAAGCTTTTTAATTTAATGAGGTCCCACTTGTCGATTGTTAACCTTAATTCCCGAGCAAGTGATGTTCAATTTGGAAAGTCCTTTCCTACACCTTGTAGGGTACTGCCTATGTTTTCTTCTAAAAGTTTCAGAGTTTCAGGTTTCACATTGAGGTCTTTGATTCATTTGGAGTTGACTTTCATGCAGGGTGAAAGATAAGGGTCTAATTTCATTCTTCTACAGGTGGAGATCCAGTTTTGCCAGCACCATTTGTTGAAGATGATGCCTTCCCTCCAGTGTGTGTTCTTGGCCCCTTTGTCAAATATCAGGTGGCTGAAATTGCATGCACTCATGTTTGGGTCTTCTATTATGTTCCATTGATCTATGTTTCTGTTTTTCTGCTAGTATCATGCTGTTTTTATGACTCTAGCTCTGTAATAAAGTTTGAGATATAGTATGGAAATCCCCCCAACATTGTTCTTTTTGCTTAAGGTTGCTTTGGCTATCTGGGGACTTTTGTGATTCCTTGACTTTTAGGATGTTTTTTTCTAGCACTGTGAAGGATATCATGGGGATTTTGACTGGCATTGCATTGAATCTATAAATTGCTTTTGGTAGGATGGTCATTTTTACAATATTCTAACAATCCATGAGCACGGGAGGTCTTTCCATCTCCTGGTGTCTTCCACAATCTCTTTCTTCAAAGATTTAAAATTTTCATTGTAGAGATCTTTAATGTCTTTGGTTAGGTTTATTCCTAGATAGTTTATTTTATTTTTTTGAGTCTATTGTGAATGGGGAGGGGGTTCCATGAATACTTTCTCAGATTGCTTATTATTGCTTATTCTTATTGGAATATAGAAAGGCTACAGATTTTTGTAGATTGATTTTTGTAACCTGTCACCTCACTGAAAGTGTTGACCATTTCTAGGAGTTTTTTTGGTGGAATTTTTGGGATCACTGATGCATATCATAACATCTGCAAATAGATATAATTTGACTTCTTCTTTTCTAATTAGTACTCCTTTAATTTCCTTCTCTTACTGCTCTAGAAAGAGTTTCAAGCACTATATTAAAAAGGAGTGGAGATAGTGTACAGCCTTATCTGTTCCTGATTTTTAATGGGAATGCTTCCAGTTTTTCTCCATTTAGAATAATGTTGGCTGTGGGTTGGTTGTATATAGCTTTAATTATGTTCAGTGATGTTCCCTCCAAGAATCCCCTACACTTTTTGCTTCTGGGTTTCTGTGGTTGTCTCTTACTACCTGGGATGCTGAGCCCACGCTTACTTACTAAAACACAAGTGTCCTAAAGCCCCACTCCAGCATCATTGACAAGACAATGGGTATTTACTTTATCTGCTGAATGGGGCTAAACCATTTTCAATAGTTCCATAGTCCCATAGTCCTGATTGGGCATGGTGGTGGCACACCTTTAACCCCCACACTTGGGATGGGGAGGCAGAGGCAGGCAGATCTCTGTGAGTTTTAGGCTAGCTTGGTCTATATAGTGAGTTCCAGGCCAGCCAGAGCTGCATAGTGAAACCTTGTCTCAACAAGTGAATAAAAAAGATCCCAAGGTCCTTTGTATGAGGCTTAAACATGAGTCATTGATATTTTTGTAACATAAAAATATACAAATAATCGTTGAACTGAAGTCCGTTTAGATATCAAATCCCTCACCTTTAATGAAGTTTCCTTTTATTATTGTTTTTCCCCAATTACAAATGGAATATTCATTACAGAAATAAGGAAAAAAATAAGACACCAAGAATACTCACAATCCTACCTACCCAGCTTGGTGTCCATCATCGCACAGCCTTGAACAGTGGTCATTAGTCTCTCGTGCAATCTGATTTCCTGAATTACATGAATTACAAAGAACATTCCATATTCCTTTTTGTATGCTCCATGTCTCTCACACAGGTTAATGTTTGAGGGCCATCAAGAAGTCCTCGTATGTTAGGGATGGCAGAGACCCCAATGTCTAAAGTCTCAGTGAGTCTTCTCCCTTCCCACCTGTTCATGGTCTAGACATGAATTGTCCCCCTCAAAAGGGCTCATGTACTGAAGGCTCTGTCTTCAGATGATGGCACAATTTTGGGAGATTCTGGAAACTTTAGGAAGTGGGATCTAGTTGGAGGAAGTAGGTGACTGGGTGGTGCCCTTGTGGGTTGTGCCCTATCCTGGGCTCCTCTTTGTTCCCTTTCTTTGCTTCCTGTCCATTATAAGGTGAGTAACCTCTGCCACATGCTCCTGCTGCCATAATGTTCTGTCTTGCCATAGGCCTGGACTCAGCAGAGCTGGGGACTGTGGAAACTGTGAGCCAAAATAAAGCGGCATGTAGCCTGACTAACACATCACCCTAGGCATCACCCTCAACAATTACCTGGGCAGGGATGGTGCCATTGTTCTTGAGGATGAGAGGCAGTTTCTCTGACTGGCCAAGCAGGAGCCTTTTAAACAGGAGCAAGGGGTTTCCAAGTTGGTTATACAGAGTTGGCCGCACGACAGTCACTCGAGGGAGGGTCCCCTCACCAACGATATCAAACACAAGACCTTGGCTCCTGGCCAGGTTGCTACAGGGGACAGGAAGATCAAGACTTGTCAACCTGACCTGGCAGGACTACTTTCCCATAGAGTGTGGGATGCAGTCTTGTTGAGGGAGAGGGGACAGAGTGGTACCTGGGCAAGCCGTCCAAGGTAGCCTCAAAGATGCACTGGTAGGTCTGCATGGCCTGTGGTGTGAACAACACTGTGGTAAAGACATGTGAGCGACTCCCAATACACATCTTGTTGGGCTCCACATCAAAGATGTCGATGATGCGGGCGGTTACCTGTTAAGAGGAACAGAACCAGAGGGTGTTAGCTACTTTGCATTTCCACCAGGGTTTATTGCTGATGTCCCTGGCCTGTTGTGAACTCTTCCCTTCTTCAAGACGGTGGTATACAAACTCAATTACCTGCAGAGCCATGGGTCCTGGATAGAGCAACCCAGAATCTGGGAGTTACCCTCCAAGCAACATCTAGCTGCTTGTGGCTAGACCATGAACTCTGATTCAAATAGACAAACAAACCAGTAAGCCAGATGCTCTTTCTGCCACCCTGCCGACTATCTTCTGACACTTAAATGAAACAGACTGTTGTTGGTTGGTAATGGAGCTGAGCTGGAATCTGGCTGAGCCACATATATGATATGGAAGCCAGACTATACAAAGGAAAGATGGATGGATTATCTACTCATCTTCTGAAGGATAGACTTAGGTGCCAGTTCTGGTCTGCAAGAGGGATGGCACCATGCTGCATTCTGATCTGTCTGAGGTCTCTGACTCATGGGCTGTGACTCCTGTGTTATCTGAGCTAAGCTGAGTGAGCTTCTGGTCCTTGTAATGCCAAGAACCAAGGCTAGAGTATCTCTTCTCAGCAATCCATCTGCCACAATCCAGTGAAAGTTCTTGAACTGGAGGGATGCCTGGCATGGCTTTGAAAGAATTTTTCATTTTTATGAGAAGTGGGTAGAAACAAGACAAGGCTCCTCCATCTTGTTCTTCAGCTGAGGACATTAAGGTTTTGTTGCTCTTTCCAAGGAATTCCCTTCTAGTCTCAAACTGGGGAGGAGGAGAATTTGGATGACTCCAAGCCGGCTGTCAGAACATCTCTCTTTAGAAGCCAGGCTTGCTTACTCTGTCTGCTTTCAGCACATAACATGGAGAAAGCTACCCCTCAATACTCTATGAAAAGGCCAGAGAACAGTGACTGGATGTCACCAGTGCCTGAGGGAAGCAATGTGACATTCACACTCTCAGATGACAGTCCACCAGGAATGCACACCGTGTACACAGCTGTAGGTTGAGGTCAATTTTGGGGACAATGCCAGGTCCAGGGCATGAGAACCACCTGGGCCCAGACTCCACCTTTGGGCAGAGAACTGACACAATCCTGATACAGCTAAGTAGTATTTGAAACACATATGACTGGAAATTAGGGTAACAGCACCCCACTGGTTAAGTCCTTCTTTGTGCTGCCCTGGATGTTCCCTTTCACTGTGAGGAAAATGACCTTAGTATGATCTGACTCAGAGAGAGAAAACAGTTTTGGGCTTAGCAGATCTCTGAAATAGGTACTTACTATTTATTCAGTATGGACGAAGCTTGGTTTTAAGCCTACTTGTATATTCTCAGGTTCTGGACGAAGCTTGGTTTTAAGCCTACTTGTATATTCTCAGGTTCTGGGACCTATTAGAAGAATTAGCTTTTCTGAGCCTCAATTTCCCTAACTGTAAAATGGGGGTAACAGCCAACTCCAAAGGAGTTGTGAACAAGGCAATAAATATGAATCATTTAGCATGATACAAGCCACATAGGAGGGTTTCAACATACATTCTTCATTTCACCTTAACACCTATGGTCTGGCACCCTATACACCTCCCTAACTAGAAGAATAGGAGGTTTGAGGCCAGTTTGTCTGAAGCTGGTGCTCATCTTTGGCTTCCCTCCCAGCGCTTGGATATTCCAGGTACAAAGATACTGAAAGAAGACCTCATAGCCTGGCGTGGTGGTGCATGCCTTTAATCCCAGCACAGGCAGGCAGATCTCTGTGAGTTCAAGGCCAGCCTGGTCTACATAGTGAGTTTCAGGGAGAGCTACAGGGAGCTACAGGGAGACCCTTTCTCAAAAAGACCAAAAATAAGACCTCATTGGAACAAATGTACAGCTCCTGGCCTAGGGGAAGTGGCCCTGTAACCCCAAGAACTTCCAGCTGGGCCCATGAGCCAGATGCTCCCAATTTGGGTACAGAAGCTACAGAGCAGGGACTTCCCAGAACTCTGTCCCTGGCTTTATGTCAACTACAGCAGGGCAGGGCCACTTGGAGCCTCTTACCTTGTTGGAAATAGGTTTGACCAAGATGTTGACATCACAGGCGATCTTTCCCACATTGCTGATTTTGAACCGAGCCTTGGCCTGGTGGCCCACCAGCACATTGCAGAAGATGAACTTGTTCTCATCCTCCACAAACAGCCCCCCACTCTGTACAGTCTGCAGGATGTGGAATAGGTTGGGACTGGTACAGATCTGGTGCTCTTCAAATATTGACACATTGTTGTCGGTTACAAAGGCTGGAGAACAGAGGGAAGACTGTGAGATGAGGCCTGGCTGCCAGAACCTGCCTTTCCATCGTCCGTCCGTCCGTCCATCCTTCCATCCATCCATCTATATATCTATCTTCTATCTAATCATGTGTATGTGTGTGTACATGTGCATCCTAAGGCACGAGTGTGGAGTTCAGAGGACAACTTGCAGGAGTTGGTTTTCTCCTTCCACCATATGGATTCCAGGGATCAAACTCAGGTGCCAGGCTTGGAGGCAGGCACCTTTATCTGCCGAGCCATCTTGCCAGCCCAGGATGTTTAGATTTTGACAAAGGAGAATCACAAGGCTGGGAATACAACTTGGTGCTGAGAGTTGCCTAGCATGCATAAGGCCTTGAGTTCTATCCCTTGCACTACAAAACAAAGTTATAACAAAAACAAAACATCACAGAAGATGAGTGGGGGAAATCCACACGTGGGGACGTAATTGGTGAACAAAATTCTGCTGGTTCTCTTTTCCACTGTCCGTTCTGGTTGAAACATCTCAATTGGCATTTTCCTGCCATTAGCAAGAAGCAGTGAACTCTGAGGTCTGGGGTGGACCGAAGAGCAAGGAGGCAGTGGGCCCACTTTGGGTCAAGGTTCTGGGGTGTCTATAACCAAAGCTTTATCTGAATTCTTCCTCGGTTAAAATTTCAGCACACTCAGTCCCCGAGAATTGCTCTGTGAATATGTTGTCCACAGGGAGTGGCCTGAGCAGGAACAGATTCAGTGTTCCTAGGTCCTGGGTCACATCCCATGCCACCAGATAGCTTCTCAGCACTACTCATGTGAGAACCCAGTAACAGACTAAGAGTTTGGAGTAGAAAGTCCTCTCCTTACATGTGCATGCTTGTGAGACTTTAGGGAAAAATATGGCTGCAGACACCAGAGGAAGTTCTAAGTTCCCAGGCGAAGCAGTCCAGCCTTGTCTGCTGGACATCTTTAGAGTTTTCCTGAAGGGGGAGGTCTACCACCAAGGCAGGTCTTTCAGGGCCGTTGGCCAATTCAAGAGGCAGTACCTGGTAGACATGCTTCGGCAAGCAGAGTGTAAGGAATGCCGGCAGGATGTTCTCTAGGGTCTCGGTCCGAGATATCGATGGCTAGAAACTCTTCACACCTTCCCACAGGGTCAGCCACACAGTCAACGGTGATGACCTGCTGTCCTCCAGAAGGGATGGAGCCAAATCCTGGGTACACTGTGAACATGCCGTGGGAGAAGCGGGCCTGCAGGACAAGGGCGTGAAGGGCAGGACAGAAGGAAGCAGAGGGGGTAACAGAGTCTGAGACTTCCCAATAGAGCCATGAGATGGTGAAAGGGGAAAAGCTAGGTCTCTCTCCATGGGCACTCTCTTTGCTTGCAGGGGCAGAGGCCCTAGGCGATTCATCCAGGATGGGTTCTCGGTGCTCTCTTCTCTGAACACTACTTTTGAGAGTCGTGATGGAACCAAAGGCTCAAGGAAACAGTCTCCACATTATGCACCACTTACCGAGGTAGAGATCTCAAAGCAGAAGGGTGTGGAATGGAACAGTGGTCGAGACGATGGGCTTTAAATACAACACTCTGGGGCTGAAACCCAATACCTACCATATAGTCTTTGACCTTGGAAAAATGATTTCTCTGGGCCACAGTTAACATATCTAAAAAAGTCCACAACCCAGCAGATCATTGGAGGGTTAAATGAGAGAAGATGTGTGAAGCAGTGCGGCATCTGTTACAGAATTAGCACTCAAAGAAAAGGATGTTGGCGTAAGAGTATCCCTTGGATGTCCCTGCAGGTCCCAGCCCTCCATGTTCCACTTGTCATTTTCAAGGTAACTGTACAATGTACTGGAAATGCCATGTCCAAGCTAAGGAAAGACTGTTTTGGCTAGTACAGTCTCTGTCCTCACACCTCCTAGATGCCCTTGTAGTGCTTTATCTTAGAGACCCAAACTTCTCTAGGGGTCTAAAACCCAGAGCCGAATGCTTTTGGGGATGCTCAGCTGTAGTGTAAAGTGGGGCATGCACAGATGAGACTCCTTACCCTGGGCAAATTCTTGAGTCCTAGAGGACCAGATCCTAGGTTTCTGTTGGTTACAGTTGCCTTGCTGTGTGAGAAATCCTTTGCATGATTTGTCCTGTGAGTACCCTGTCTTATTGGACTTGTACTCTGGCAGCTGGACCTCCTCCTAGGTCTAGGAACTTCAACAGGAGCTGATGAGGGCTAGAATATCTTCTCCTAGCCTGTGATGCTGATATGTGGCATTGGAGAGGTGCTCAGGATCCTCCCTTGGGACTGACAACAAATGCACAGTATTCCTCTCACAGGAACTGACACCGGAGCAGCTGAACTGTCTGCCGCTCAGAGAGCATGTGCTCCTCCTGGTTCTTAGGCTTGACCCTGCTCTTGTTTAGTTTCACAAAGCGACCCAGGGGCAGTCTAACTTAGGATATCTTCTCCAGTGTATCTCTAGAGCAGCACTAGAATCTAGCACAGTAGCTGGGTGTTGGCTTGGGACCTTGAACTTGATGTGCCAACTTTTAGCATGTCAGAGATGCACTCTTCCAACGTAACCACCCCTCCCTTCCAAATCTCTTTAGGTACTTTCCATAGTACTACTACATTAGCACAAGATTTATTCTTAGAAGGTTCAGATACCACCTCTGTATCTTCAGGATATCTTCTATAAATTCTCACCAGGGCTCCAACAGGTGGTTGGACAGAGTGGCACCCTCCACTCCAGTGAGTACATGGCACACAAGTGCCTGGGGGATAAGCCTTAGGCGTGGTGAAGTGTGACTTCACAGCTCTGCATATATGCTGCTAGGGACCTAACTTGATTGCTACTGACTGAACATTTGCTGTGTGCTAGGAGCTGTACTGGGCCCTGGAGATTCCTGGATACACCATCTAGACAGAGAAGGACTTCTCTCCAGATTTCTGTTTCTTAAAAACAAATTATTCTTGATTAAAAAGTATACATGAAGATTTTAAAGCACTAGGGATTCAGTGAATGTTTTAAAGTAGAAATGGACATCCAAAATGGTAGTGAGGATTTCAATATGGAGATGTAATATTCCTGCCACAGAAGATACAAATTCTGTTATTTTACAGAGGTGTCTGAAGGTGAGGGCTTGCTGGAAGGTGGCCTTGCTAAGTTTCTATGACTAAGGAGGGGCACTCACTTGGTTTGCGATGTTCATGTCTTTCTGGACAGTATCTGAGAACTTGGCTGCTTTAGCAGGGCCGGTCTTGAAGAAGTTCTCACTCTCTTGGGTTCTTGTATTTCCAATGTGGCTGGTCCTGATCAGAGAAGTGAGAGTACATTGTCAGATTCTGATGGGGACATGAGACACCACCTGTTCACCTGTGCTCCTTTCTTCTAGGCTCTCGGGGTAGGAGAAGTTTTGTCTAAAGAATTCGTCATCTAGACAGAATAAAGAATACACAACTGTATTTGAAATGCATCATACATTTTTGAGAATTTTATATATGCAAACTTTTTTTCTTGAGTTTCACTATGTAGCCCTGGCTGGCCTGAAACTTGCTATGTAGACCAGGCTGGCCAAGAACTCACAGAGATCCATCTGTTTCTGGTTCCTGAGTGCTGAGATTAAGGGAATGCATGACCACATCTGGCTCAAACATTCATTTTCTTTTTAAAAATTAATTTATTATATTTTTATATGTATGACTATTTTGCCTGTATGCATGTAAGTGCACCACATGTGTGCAATGCCCTTGGAGACCAGAAGAGGGTGTCAGGTCCCCTGGAACTGGACTTAAGGATGATTGTCAACCATCATGTGGGTGTTAGGAACTGAACCCAGGTCCTCTGTAAGAGCAGCCAGTGCTCTTAACCACTGAGCCATTTCTCCAACCTCACATTCACTTTCTTAATGACCACAATATTTAAAGTTCAAACACTTTGGGTGTTTTACATGAATTTGTTCAAGCTAAAATAAAAAGAATTAAAATAAAAATAATTTAAACAGTATACAAATTATAATAATTGGAAGCATTAGTAAATCATTATAAAAAATTGTAAAAACAAAAAGCCCAAACAAACCAACAAAAAAAGAAATGGTAAAAAGTTAGGTTGAAACTAAATTTGGAAGAAAGAGACTTTAGGTAGTTTAACTCCATATTTCTTAATATGGTCAAACTTTGCCATTATAGAAAGTAATAGTATGGCTGGAGAGATGGCTCATCAGTTATGAGCACAGGCTGCTTTTGCAGAGGACCCAGGTTCAATTCCAGCACTCGCGTGATGGCTAACAACCATCCGTAGCTCCAGTTCTGGGGCATCTGACGCCCTCTTCTGACCTCTGTGGGCATTGCACAACATTGGTGCACTTACACACATGTAGGCTATAAACTCGCACACATAAAATAAAAATAATTAAAAGTTTTACAAAGAGAAGTGATAGCTTCAAAAATGTAAAATTATTATAAGCAATGTAAGGATTAGGCATGTTTTGAAATACTTAGAAAATCCAAATAAAGTTAGTATCTTCGGAACCAATAAACCATATTTTTTGTTTGTTTTTATCTTTTTTTGAGACAGGGTCTCCCTGTAGCCACAGCTGGCCTTATGTAGACATAAACTACATAAACTCATTATATAGACCAGGTTGGCTTTGATTTCATAGAGATCCACCTGTCTCTGCCTCCAGAGTGCTGGGATTAAAGGCTCAAAAAGCCAGGTGTTTTTGCTTATTAATTCAGCATCTTCACAGTCTTGTGGTTGCAACAATTATTAAAGCAGCTGTGGTAACAAAGTCTTCACAGGGAAAAGGCAGGAATCCTGTTTGGTGAGCTGAAGGCATTACCCTGATTCCTCTTGCTTGCATTTCCAGGGCACCCTTTGCCATCCCTAACCATGAGGCATGGCTCAGGCTTTCCTTTGATTTAGTTTGATGTTGCAGTCATCCCTTAGCACCTTGCAGGATGATGGACAGGGTGATGACCTATTTGTGAGTCTTTTAGCATACCAGAAGCATCAGGACCACACAAAACCCCAAAGTCTTCCCAATGGAAGATGCTACAGTGTCCCTTACTCCCTCCCCCTCTCACACTGATTGATTGACAGGGTTTCAGGTAGGCCAGGCTGGCCTCCAACTTGCTATGAAGCCAAGGATGACCTTGAACTCCTTATCCTCCTGCTTCTACTTTCCAAGTGCTGGGATTACAAGTGTGCACTATCACACCCATCCAGAAGACTTTTCATTTGCTTAACTAAAACTTATCCTGTATCTGATGAGAATTAGAAAATGTTTGAAGTCTGGTCAGAAAATGTGGGTTCAGAACCAACTCCTTCCAGCGATTTCCCTCATAGTCTTGTATGAATCACTTCTAAACTTGGGTGATTTTGCTCATGTGAGGTTACTGGGTCAATTTAGATAAAGTATGGGGAAGATTTCTGTAGAATATAAAGTACTGAGCAACAGGGAATGATATGAATCAACAACTTGTCTTACGCCTTCTTTTGATGAATGGGGCTCTCCCCCGTCAACCTGTAGAGGGCGTACTTGAAGTCAGTAATGCCTTGGTTTTCTATGGTAAAGGTGGTGCTTTTCTTGGTACCACAGATCAAAGCCCCAAAGTTGATGATGGAGGAGGGGCTGATGGTGAATTTGGAATACACTGCATTCACAGAAAACTTAATTGGGATGCTGGCGACGATCTCATCTTCTGAAAGACTGGGCTCAATAATCTAGAAAGGGAAGAAGGGTTGGAAGATGTCAGCCCCGGGCACAGGTACAGAATTCCCATCAGTGTCGTCTTACCTACTTTCATCCTTGATATGAAATGAGGCTCTTTACTTCACTCTCCGTAGTACTGCATAAACGGCGACGTTAGTAGATGCTGACAGTTCATCATGCACTAGCCAGACATTGACACAGAGTAACTGTGCCTGCTATTTTCAGCTCAACACATCTTTGCACTTGATGGAACACAGCTCTTTTAATTCTGGGAGCATACTTCCTCTCTTGGCATTTCTATTCCTGGTGACTTTGTATCCTTCCTCCCTAGCCCAACTATGCCAGATACTTGGGACTGAATTCTGGTGTCACTTCTCTGGTTGCCACCCAGGTCTTCTTCCCTTTACCCTGGCCCGTGAGTCATTCCACACAACCATACGTTCACCAGAATGCCCACAGTCTTGCCAGTGAGTCAGCCTGTTTCTCTGCATTTTCTCACCTGACATCGAATAATAGGTTGGTGCTCAATCTTCACCTCTTTTTTTGCACAGAAGTATACCTGGACACTTGTGGGTTTATCTGCTGAGGTCAGTGAGCCCTTTTTGGGTTGGACTGAGATCATAGAATTTATATTTGTTGACAGAATCCCTAAGGAGTCCACAGAGAAGCTGAAAGATAAGAATAAATAAGTGACTTAAATCATCATCCAGGAAACAAAAGATGTCAGAGAGGGCAGTTTAGTCTGTTGAGTACCTACCTGTCCCTGGCCCTATGGAAATACCATGTACAGCAGAGTCCACTATGCTTCCTTTGGTGTATATGTGTGTGTTCATGTATGTGCAAGTTCACGTGCAGGTGTGTGAGTGTGCTTGAAGAGGCCAGAGGTCAACATTAGGGGTTATTCTACAGGTGCTGTCCATTTTTTCTTTTTGAGGCAAGGTCTCTCACTGACCTAGGACTCAACAAGCAGGTTAGGCTGGCTGGTAAGCCCCAGGATCTTCCAGCCTCCATCTCCCCAGTGCTGGGATTACAAGTGTGTGCCACCACATTTGGCTTTTTTTTACCTGGGTTTAGGGGAAGGCAAGCACTTTACTGACTGAACTATCTCCCTAGTCATGCCCCTATGCTTTGTATAGTGGATTACAGGTTTGATTTGGTCAGGGACTGATGCTTGAGGCAAGATCACCATCCTCTATCCCAAGGTTAAGAAGAATCGCTGCAGGATTTCTCTGTTTAACAGGGACGCTTGATGGTAGAAAAACAGCAAATAAATTAAGTCTCTCTTTCATTTTTTCTCTGTATTTCTGAAACTGAATGTAGCATATGAAGTGGGAACAGTTAGGCAGATGCTTGGGGATCTAAGGAGAGGAAGTAGGGGCAGAAGTCAGGGAATGGAGACATAGTGGAGTCTACAGGCCTGATGGGGGAGAAGTGAGGACCAGAGATGAGAGCTGACTCAAGAGCACTGTGGAGGGCCTGGAGGAGGCACGAGGACTTAAGTGGCAGTGGAACACCTGGTGTTGAGGCAGAGGTCTGGCTGTCACCTATTCACCACTGCTCCAGGAGATCTGGTGGCTCAATTGCTGTACACACAACACCTGTGATTCTCCACTTACCCACACACTTTTCATCAAACCTCCATTACCTGTTCCAAACAAGAATGACTCCATTCTATACAATGTGGAAAAGCAGAGCTAAAGGCTGTTGTGATGTAATCCAGAATGCACAAATGGCCGAGATTCCATTTAGCATTACCTCCAAAGTGACAGTGGCCTTTATTTATACTCATTTGATCCAGTTTTTAGTTTCACTGTCTCATGAATAGTGGTGTTGAGTTGGGACATTGCTTATTTCCATATTCTATAAGTTGACATGAAATGAATACGCCGAGTTTCTTCTAAGTCTGCACAGGGAAGTCACTTAGTTAGCTATGAATTCTTTTGGAGGGAGGTAGGATGAAATCAAAGAAATCTCCGGGCCTGAGTGCTGGCATGGCCATGGAGGGCTCAGTGACTGACCCGAGCAACTTCCCCTTCTCCCATCCCAAACCATCTTCTCTGAGGATCTTCCTGTACTTGGTGATTCATTTTTTAAAAAAACATTTTATTTATTATTGTTATTTTATGTGTATGAGTATATTGCCTGCGTGTATATTAAGTGCACCTGTGTTGTGCAATACCCAACGAGGTCAGAAGAGGGCGTTGATCCCCTGGAACTGGAGTTACAGATGGTTGTTAGCCACAGTGTAGGTGCTGCAAATTGAACCTGGGTCCTCTGAAGAACAGCCAGTGCTCTTAACTTCTGAGCCATCTCACCAGCTCCAATTGGTGAGTCATTTGTAATGTCAAGGAACGGGCATAGATGAAGTAGCACTCTATCAAGCCACCCTTTGGATTCTCTAATATAGTAGTTCTTATTAAAAAAAAAAACACTGAAACAAGGGGCCGGAGAGATGGTTGTTCTTGCAGAAGACCTGGGTTTGAATTCCAGCATCCACATGGCAGCTAACAACTGTCTGTAACTACAGTTCCAGGGGATCCGACAGCCTCTTCTGTCCTCCACAGGCATTGCATTACACAGGTGCACTCACCTACATGCAGGCAATACACAGATACACATAAAATAAAAAATAAAAACAAATGGAAAACTCTTCATGTAAATCCTGGTATGAAAATCTAGCCTACAGGACAGAACAGAGCTGGAAGTGGGGTAGGAAACTTGAAGCCAGCCTGTCCCCAACTCTAGTCTCTCTCTCTACTCCTAGAAGTCCTCTCATCCCCAAGGATCTCCCCTTCCCAGCCTCCTCTATCCCCAGGCCCATGGTGCTCCAGATCCATCCAGAGGCCTTTTAAGCTGAGAATTCCAGAGTATGTGAAAAGTTTTGCACTCAGCAGTTGAAATTTCATTCATTTGAGGCCAAGGGAGGCAAAAACAGAGACAGTTCTTAGGATTTCCTTTAGGCAGGGTCTCATGTAGTCGAGGATGGCTTCAAACTCACTATGTAGCCAAGGATGACCTTGAACTTCTGATCTTTCTGCCTCCACCTACTGAGGTATATGTTATTGTATGTTGGGGATCAAACCCAAGGCACTCTCTCAACTGAGCTACATCTCTAGCCTCTGTCTTTCTTTTTGGAGTGTGTGTTGCATGTGCATATATGAACATGTGTGTGTTGGTATGCATGTTCTCTCTGTGTGTGTGTGTGTGTGTGTGTGTTTGTGTGTAGGACAGAAGTCTATGTTAGGTTTCTTCCTTGATCATTTTTCACCTTATGAAGCAGGGTCTCTCCCTGACCCCAGTGAACACTGATTTCACTAGACTGGTGGGTCAAAGAGTTCTAGAGATGCTCCTGTCTCTGCTCCTCCTATGCTAGAGTTATAGATGGCCAGGTTTTTTATGTGGGTGCTGGGGATTTGAACTGAGGTCCTTGCACTCACGCAGTAGGAAGTTTACCCACTGAGCCATCTCTCCAGCCCGTTTTTTTTTAAAGCTGTCCCAAACATACTCTTCTTGTCATAAGTGGATGTGGATGCTGGTTATATCCCCCATGGGATTCAGGTTACCTGAACATGATCTCGTATTTCCCACGGTTCTTCAGTTGAAGGGGTTGCTTTATTTCCTCCATGACCTTCACAGTCCCAAAGTCCAGGCCTCCTTCAGCTCCTACAGAGGCCAGGGCATGGGGTGGGGTTGAGTGGGCAAGGGAGCTTGAGCAGGGGCTTCCCTCCGAAGGTGATGGTTTCAGAGAACTTGTTTTCTGAAAACTCTGTGGCAGGAAGCATCCTTTGTGACTGAGCCTCAGCAAATAAACAACAGGCTCTCAGTTCATCTGGACACCTCCCTTGGGATTCCACCCTGTGGGCTACCATACCCTGCATGCCTGTCATCAGCTAAACCATCTACGATTTTTAAAAAAAGATTTATTTATTTTATGTGTATGAGTGTTTTGCCTGCCTTGTAAGTGTATTATATGTGTGCAATGCTCTTGGAGGCCAGAAGAGGGTGTTAGATTCCCTAGAACTGGAGTTACAGACAGTTGTAGGCTGCCATGTAGGTTCTAAGAACCGAACCTGGGTCCTCTGCAAGAGCAGCAACTACTCTTAACCTTTGAGCCAACTCTAGCCTCACCTTCTAGGAGCTTTACAAATTTTTGAAGAATTTACAGAGCTATAATACTAAAAACATATAATTTTGTGTTGTTTTACTTACTGTCACAACGTAAGCATTCCCTCAAATTATTAAAGCTCTTCATAAATGCAGCCTTAGTGGCTGCCACGATATGGCCATTCCATAATTACTACTCTTACAATAACATTATTCTACTTCTGACAGATATTTTATTTACTCCCAACTTTTCATGATTATGCTGTAGTAAAGATCTTTGTATAGAAGATAGTGATACCTGACCAATATGTAGCTCTAATAATCTTACTGAGGAAGACACCTTTAAGGGAAAGGAGGCATCATGGAGAATTGCATGCTCAGGGAAGAGACTTAGGGCAGCATGGTAGACAGAATAATGTCTCAAGACACCCGTCCTAATCCCTGTGATTTGGGAATACATGGCAAAGGGGACTTAAGATAGCAGACAATTGAGGCTGGTAATCTGCTGCCCTCAATTGACATGGATTATCCTGGTAGCCCAATGCAATCAGAAGGGTCCTTATAAAAGTAGACAAGGATAGCAAAAGTGGAGAACCAGGGAGATGGCAGTGTGAGGAGGACCAATACTGCTAGCTTTGAAGGTGCAGGACGGAAACACAAACCAAGCAATGTGGGTGATCTCTAGGGGCTGCAAAGCTTAGGAAACTGATTCTCCCCAGAGCTTTCAGGAACACTTAACCTGTTAACACTTGGATATTCATCTGTAAGACCTGCTTTGAACTGACCTCAGGACTATCAGGTAATACATTTGTGGGTTTTTCTGGAGTTTTTGTTTTTTTGAGATGGGGTCTCATTAGGCAGCCTAGGATGGATGGCCTCTCACTCAAGAGCCTCCTGTTTCAGTTTCCTGAGTAGCTGGGATGACAGGCATGCATCACCATGACTGGTGCAGTTTGTATTGTTTTAGCCCAGAAAGTCTGAGGCAATCTGTTTTATAGTAGTGATAGAAAAGTAATGTAAGCAGGAAGAGACTCACTTATTAACTGCTCAGAGAAGAGCTCTGTGGATTTTATATTGATGACAATCCCTTGCTATCCTCAGATGGAGACATTATAATTTGTAGTGATGTTGCTAACATCACTCTAGGCTTGCATAACTATTACCAAAATATTGTCCCCTTTCCCATCAACCCCCACCACATTACTAACAAATACACTAGCCTTCCTCTACACAAAACTGTACTACACAGACACTATGTCTAAACCTGCTTCCTTTGAAGGGTTCAACAGACCTTTGGGGAAGGTGATGTCCAAAGCAATATCATACGATTCTGCAAAGACCAGGATGTTTTCGATCTGAACAACACCAACGAGATTGTCTACATCTAAAACCTGTCAGGGCAAGAGAAATTCATCAGTGTAAGCAAGACCCATGAAGTGCCTGGAGCCTGAAATATGCAACATGCAGTGGTAACTGTGAGGGTGAGAGGGTAGGGGATGTTTCTGAGAACTTTAAAATCAAATACACCTGGAGAACGTTTTCTAACACTGGATGTGGAAAACCTTCACGTCTTGTTCCACTCATTTTAGAAACCAGGACTATTCCATTCTCTGTGACTCAATCTGTAGAGCAGTGATAGATTTTTTTCATGCACAGTACATGTTTAATGCTTCTCCTTTTGGAAATTTAAAATGTTTTATTGTGTGAACATTCATCTTCAAAACCGTGGGCTATATCAGCTCACTGACCCTGACGCTATCGCTGTTGGGGGTCCTCCCTCACTGTCCTGAAGGAGCCCCTGAGGTGCTGCCAGCTGGCATTCCAATCTAACTCAATCTAGCTGACTGTAATCAGAAGCTGATGAAGGGTCTGTTAGTCAGGGAAAAGCTGCTGGCTGGTAGTCCAGCACTCCTGCATCTTGGTGGAGATCACTCTTATCCTGATGAAGACGTCAATTGAAAAACAAAGTTACCAGCTTGCCCATACGTGTGCTTTGGGTATAAGGAGAAACTTTTAGCTATTACTAAATTAAAGATTTTTAAAAGAACTTTTTATTTATTTATTTATTTATTTATATGAGTGTGTTACCTGCATTGTGTAAGTGCACCCATGTCGTGCAATGCCTGCATAGGTCAGAGGAGGTTGTCAGATCCCCTGTAACTGGCATTACAGTTGTTAGCCACCATATGGGTGCTGGGATTCAAACTCAGGTCTTCAGCAAGAACTGTCAGTGCTCTTACATGCTGAGCCATCTCACCAGTCCCGAATTAAAGGTTTAAAAAAAGATTTATTTTTAAAATTGCGTGTGTGTGCGTAAACTCATATATGCATGTAAGTGCATGTGCCCACAAAGGTCAGAAGAGGGTGTTGGATCCCCAAGAGCTGGAGTTATTGGTGATTGTGTGCTGCTCAATGTGGGTGTTGGGAACCAAACTCTAGTCCTCTGCAAGAGCAGTAAGTGCTCTTAACAGCTGAGCAATCTCTCTAGCCCCCAATTCAAGTTTAAATTTAGAATTTCTACCTTTTCTTTAACGCACACTTGCCAGTATTAGTTGAGTCTGTGAAAGCAGAGCTCATGAGTACAGACGGCTGATTGTATGCCTCTAAATGAGAACAGAAGACAGATGAGACAAGAGCTTCTGAGGAGAGAGGCAAAGGCTGGAGGGATGCAGCCACAAGCCAAGGCATACCAGCAGACACTAGAAGCTAGAAGGGGTGAGGAAGAATTCTTCCCTAGAGCCTTCAGAGGGAGTGTAGCCTGCCACCTTGATTTTGGATTTCTTGCCTTTCAGAACTGTGAGGGAGGAAGGTCTGTTGTTTTGGGCCACCCAGTTTGTGGTAATTTGTTACTATAGTCCCAGGAAACTAACACAGATGGTGAGCTTGGGGAGATGACTGATAGAGTTCTCATAACAAAGTAAGCAGAGGTAAAGTCAGAAAGGGGTGGGGCTCTGAAGGATAGAAGATGCTGAGTGTTTGTACACGCAGGGGATACCCTCAATGGGCTATTAGGGAAGCCCACTTGAAGCAGTGATGGTACATAGATCTTCAAGCAGGCACCAACTCCCCACAGAGCCCAGAAACAAATTCCTGGCAGGGATGCAGGGGTGTCAGGAATCTCAAGCAGGAAACAGAAAGTGATGGGAGCCAATGATTAAGGTGTGGACCAAGCAAGATGCAGATAGACACAGGTGAGGGCTCTAGGCGTCATCTTTACTGCCTTGAGGAACCAGTAAAGTGAATTGTCAATGGTGAACATGCCCATCTGACTGATACTGTAAAGATCCCTGTGGTCACTTGTGGGGAATGCAAAGAGGAAAGTGCAGATGTCCAAGCAAAAGATGCTCCAAGTGGCCTGGATAAAGGTAGAGGACAGACAGTGAAGTGGATGGGAAGGAAAACCCTTGGAGGCAGAACAGGCAAGGCTTGGGAAGACTGGGTTGGAAAGGACCCTATCAGGACAAGAATGGCATTGAGAACAATTGTCAGGTGCCAGGGGTAAGGGTGATGTTAACTGAAACAAGAATCTGACAGGTGACCAGTGTGAAATCAGGAATGTAATGTTTACCTAGGCACAGTAACATCATTCGTTCGTTCATTCATTCATTCATTCATTCCACATTGACTGAGTCTTCTGGTTTTAGTAGTAAGAAATCAGCTTTGAACAATACTGCCTTGATTGAGCTTGTGTTGTATGCAGAGCAAGTTATCACAGGCTGGGAATATCAAACACAGATCAGATAGGAATGTGAAGTGAGAGGTGTGTGTGTGTGGTGTGTGTGTCCAATGTACACATATTTTGATTATCCAGTATGCAGTTACACAATGCCTCACCTCCACCCGAATGGCCTTCTTGATGTTGATGGGTTTGGAGGGTTGGAAGTGCACATGCAGCCGAAACTCTTCCTTGGGTAGGATGTTTCCCTGCATCACAGACACGGTGAAGTCTTCACCAACGTGTTCCAGGCTGGAGATCCGCCAGGCCACAGGTAGGGGTGTGATATTGCGGAGAATTACCATTTTGGATTCTTTTCTGCAGACACCAAAGAAATTTGGTGAAGCTCAAATTATTTTTAAAAGTCATCGTTTCGCTTTTGAGGGTGGTTGTGTAAAAATTCCTCAACCCTTTTTTGCCTGCTTGTTTTATTGAGGCCTCTTAGCTGATGGGGCTAAGCTAATTTGCATGATTTTTTTATTTTTTTCATGGATAAGTTAGCTCAAATTATCTCAAATTAAATGACATAATTTAAAACATAAAAAGTTGTATGAATTCCTCTATGCCCTTTGTCCAACTGACTTTGCCTTCTTTGCATGTGCATATAGTTTCTTCCTTACCATTTTTCAGAACCATTTGAAGTTAAATTGGACATAATCATGCTCCTTAACCTTTAAACATTTCAGTACATATTTTTGAATAATGAGAACACTTATTAAACCGAGGGGATTTAACATTTGTACAAGACTGTTACTCAGTTCACAATTCAGGTTCAACTTCCATCTTTGTTCTACTTACAGTCCTTTTTAAAATTATTATTGACTTTTTTTTTTGGTCTTTTTGAGACAGGGTCTCCCTGTAGCCCCAGCTGTCCTGGAACCACCTGCCTCTGCCTCCCGAGTGCTGGGATTAAAGGTGTGTGCCACCACGCCCGGCTATTATTGACTTTTTTACAGTGTACATTTTTAATTGAAATTTGTGCATTTCATACAATGTTCTAGAAGCTATTTGTTTCTTCCTAGTTAAGGAGTTAATCTGGGATCATGTATTGCATTTGTTTTTCACAACTCTTTGAAAAGTTTCTTCTACACTTGTTTTGGTTTTGACATTTAAAACATTTTTATTGAACTTTTGTACATTTCATTCAAGTGAAGAGTCATTCTACAGAATGGGAAAAAAAATCTTTACCAGCAATACATCTGACAGAGGGTTAGCGTCTAGAATGTGCCAAGGACTAAAAAATGAGTCATAGAACTAAACGAAAGTTCTCAAAAGAAGAAATACAAATGGCTAAGGAATATTTTAAGGACTGTTAACAACCTTAGCTGTCAGGGAGAGAAATGCAAATTAAAACTACTTTCAGATTTTATCTTACCCTAATCAGAATGGCCAAGATGTAAAGAAAATCACCAAATAATGACAACAAATACTGGCAAGGGTATGGGGGAAGGGAACCCTCATTGACTATTGGTGGGAGTGCAAACAACTAGTGTAGCCATTATGGAAATCACTGTGGAGGTTTCTCAAAAAGCTAGAAATAGATATCCTGTATGATCCAGCTACACCACTCCTGGGACTTTCCCAAAGGACTCTGTATCCCACTGTTGTGATACTTGCTCATCCATGTTCACTGTAACTTTATTCACAATAACCAGTAAGTGGAAACAACTTAGATATACATCAGCTGATGAATGGATAATGAAAATGTGGCTCATATGCATAATGGAATATTACTCTTTTGTAAGTAAAAATAAATAAATAAATGATGAAATTTGCAACTAAATAGATGGAGCTGGAAATAATCATTCTGAGTATGGTAACCCAGACCCCAAAAGACCAGCATGCATGCTCTCTGTCATGTGGATGCTAACTTTGAATCTTTAGATTATGTGTACTTACACTACAGTACACATAGAAGGGTGGAAACTAGTAAGGAACCATGGGGTTGGGAGATTTAAAGAGAATGGGGCTAGAACACAGATGGTATAAAGGGAGAAAAGAATAATGGGATAAGAGGTGCTAAACGGGATAGGGGGTGGGAGGGCTGGGAAGGGGAGCGAGTATGGGAAAGGATGACCAACACTAAATATGCCTGATAAAGTTACATGGACGCCTACTACTGTGGAAGCTTCCTAAAATTATATCTATACGTATAAAAAGGAATTTAAATGGAGTTACCCTATAATGGGGGACAATGTCTCTCCCAGATACCATAGCCATCAAATAAAAGGCCCAGTGCCTGTATGGGTTACCTTTTTTCCTCAATCATTACTGGGGTTCCACAGACCCTCTCAAACATTATGGGCCATTGCCGTTGTCCTGGTTACCCTCCAGAACTTAATGGTAAGGCCCTATTGCTGAAGATACTACATACTTGGTATCATATAGGACATGGAGAGATCAGTTTGGCACTGACATAGAAGCTTCACTACTATGGGCTAGCTTTCATAGTGCTGGAAGATTCTATGCATACTACCAGGTAAGAAAAGTAATCAATAGTCTTATCCAGCTGTGAATTTTGCAAGACACAATAATGACTATACACTGGTGAAATAGTGGCATGGAGGTTATGGGAGTAACCAAGCATGTTTGGATTGGATTTACAGCCTGCTCCACAAGACAGAACTCATGCCTACTATCATTAACTGGACCAAAAATTCATGGCTGGTTAGGTCATAGGCCCTAGGGAAGAACCTAATACTATTATTCTGCTAAATGGACATAGTGATAAATTGTCCCCTAAGTTCTTACCTTTATATCCATAAATTAGTACATCTCTCAACCCCTCATCAGAGAAGCTTCTTTTTGAAGTAGATGATGATCAACACAGAGACCCAAAACTGGTCAATGTGCAGAGAATAAGAGATTATGGAGTGCTCAGCTCTAAATGGGACATCTATATCACACCTCCCTCTCCCAAGGCTCAGGGATCATCATGGAAGAGGGTGTAGAAAGGTTTGAAGAGCCAGAGGTAGTGGATATCTAGAGCAAAACAGTATTCACTGGACACAACAGTGTCATTGCAAACATAAACCCAAAACTGGTCAATGTGCAGAGAATAAGAGATTATGGAGTGCTCAGCTCTAAATGGGACATCTATATCACACCTCCCTCTCCCAAGGCTCAGGGATCATCATGGAAGAGGGTGTAGAAAGGTTTGAAGAGCCAGAGGTAGTGGCTATCTAGAGCAAAACAGTATTCGCTGGACACAACAGTGTCATTGCAAACATAAATTCATAGCAGCTGTGGCTACATGCATAAGACCTGTCTATGATCAAGCCAGTCAAAAACCCAGCATGGATGGGGGAGGGGATCATGAAATCCCATCCCTGTAGCTGAGGAGCTATTGGCAATTGGTGGCTGCTGGGAGAGGGAGGGTCAGCTTTCTTTAAGGATGTGGTCCCTGAGAGGCTACTCATGCTCCAATAGATGGTCCCACTTCCATACACATATGGGCAGTGAAGGCAGGAAACTTGAACTAATCTTATAAACCTGATGCTAGTCATATCTAATAAAGGCAGGTGACTTAATCTAATCTCGTAAATCCAATGTTAGTCAGACATGGTAAACAGACTAATGATATTTCTTAGAAAAATGATCCTCATGTGTGGAATGTTAGCAATGTCCCTTATTTAGGATTCTCTATATAAATAAACTCAAGACTCTAAATATTTGGGAATGGATTCCCTGGATCTAGGTAATCATGTGATGTGTAAAATGACTTATGTTCCAGAGCCAATTTTTCCTGTTGAGTGAAGTTATCAAAAACCTTTACTTAGAGGCTGAGTTGTTAATTTGAGCTATAAAGCACATGACTGATGTGCGAAGGAAGGACCAATAGGAATCATAAAAAATGCCCCAGGCATCATTCACCTTCTGTACATTTTGATTCCTTTTATCTTTAAAATAACTACCAAAGCTTAATATAACTTATTTTGAGGGGTCTGATCTAGTAATCCAGACTTGAGTGGTTCAACTGCTTTGCATTATTTTTATTTTGGTGGCTGCCAGCATTGCTGCATTATAAGAAATTCTAAAGGAGACTTAAATCTGAAGGAATATGACATCCCATAGAAACTCAGAGCTACAGAATACCATTTGAAAATTGCCCTGTTCTGACTTTTTTCTAGTTCGCTGTCTAGAACTTGTAATGCTAATTACTCTTGCCTTTACTTCTCCTTCACATCTCCTATTCATGATTCAAGGACTT